TGGAATACCAATCGAGGAAATCCTTGAAAACGAGCCCGCACGACGATCGATCCTCCTGGCTTCTGTACAAATCACGTTCCCGTGTGGTACACAGGTGCTCTTGTAAAATGCGATCTCTCGTTCATGCATGCGCTATACAGTCGCGTCGATAAGTATGTCGGCCTGGGACACCTTTTCAAGAATTTTCTATGTATCCGCTGTATTTTTCTCATGAAAAATACGTATGCATTTATACATAAAATATGTATTATTATTATGAGATATATTAAATCATGAGTAGAAAGGAAAATTCGAAGGATGAAATGATAACATGTATCATTCGAGCACAGAATATTTTTTACCCGAAGTAATTATTTACAATAATTCATACACAAAATAAAAGTAAATGTAAAAATATTCAATAACGAATAAAGTATTTTAACGACACGTTAACTAACTTACCAGCGCGACTGTACACACGGACACTGCATGTTCCCGGCGCACTCATTGTCTGCCTCGTGTGCTGCACACTCGTGCCAACGACGAGCGTGTCTGCACGATATTCTAAACAACACTCCGGATTGACATTAGATATCAGTGAGGCTAGTCACGCAGGTAAACGTGCCCGCGGTACCGCGACTTGCCGGAAAGTAAATTTTAATTGAGGCACGAACCTCTCGTTCCGCCTTGAAGTTCGTCGCGTTTCGGTTACAAGGGATTCCCCTAGTTGCTTATTCTCCCCGCGGCCTTATTCGGTCACGATATTTCTCGGTTGGCATTAAACGAGGGGACAAGTTTGATGGTACGGAAGCGTTCGGATTTGTTTCGTGGTTTCCACGAACGAGAAGGGAGGATTTTCTTGGGAAAGATTCGTGTAATACTTTCTTAGGGCAAGAATGTAGAAGCTTTTTTCTTATGTTCTAGTGTGTTGATTTCCGAATGTATTCTTTTAAGCAGAGACCGAATGCCGTTATATGTAGAGGTTTCGGTATCATAACGATATCTCTTTTGATGTTATTGTGACATATCCTTTGTAATACCGATTCAAACTCTGCTTTTAAGAACAAGCTTGTCCCACTTTACACTAGTTAATATGTGCTCACCAGACTTATGGTTATTAAAGGATGAAGTCTGAAACTTTGCGTGCTACAATGCTCGGTTAAAAACTAACATTCCACACGGAATAGGGATAGTGGCAGTTTCGAGGCGAGACAATTACTGGATGGTTTTACGGATGTGCGTCGTGGTTGAGGGGGTGGCATCGGAAGCCATTATTTCAGGATTAAAAGAAGCTTTCACGGGTCTATCTAATTATCGAGTTGCTATCTGACTGTATTCCTCAGGGAATAACGAGAAAAGAAGGCAAAGACGAAGGGATATACTATCCCCGCGCACGGTATTACAACGAACCTATTTCTTGTCTCTCCTGGGTCTCGGTTGGCCAATAAAAGAGTTTATCGAGGCATCATTTAGAAGATAAAATTGAAAATCCCCCCTACTCGTCTCCTCTGTCGTCAAAACGTTTCGCCAATATCGTCTGTTTACCTGTCCTCTACTTTGTGAGAGATATGTCAAGCGCAGAGGAACAGCCTGGAAGCTGAAGAGCTGGTGCAACATATTTTATGGCAATCAAAAGTTCTTCGGCAAAATCTTCCCCCTTCTGGTCGTAAATGGTGTAATGGCGGGGCTTCGAAAATTTATTGCAGATTAGTTTGGTACATGCGCGAAACTATACGGTCGTGCGAGGGGTACGACGGCTAAAATCCATTACAGCGGTCACTATGTATAACGCGCGCGACTAACATGCGTCATCCATGCAACAAAACGATCCAAAGCGTTTGATGAAGTATATACGTTACATTAGGATTACTCACAAAATAATATACACCTTTTGAAAAACCTTTAACCTGCTAACTGCGGAATTTAATTTGAAAAGATCACCACAGAGTGAGGAATTAAAATCAAGCAATGTCGAGTATACACGTCGAACGCACTTAACTGGTTATTTTGCCAATAAGGATATAATCTCCTCGTCGGTAAGGAACGATCGATATCAATGGATAGAGAAAGAACGCTTTCGATTCGCAGCGTACAGAATCGAGCGATCAAATGTAGTTAAAGCTGCCTCTAAAGCTGCTACCCAGGAGTAGCAACTCACAGGACATCGTTGTATTCCATTTCTGGCAATTTCTAACCAGGAGGGACTGTCGTGGGCATAAGAAACGCGGGTCTCCGTTCGAGGACGATGCGTAATAACAGGCGTTGCTCGGGAAGTACGAGCTGCTGTTTGCAAGGCAGATTACACGCACGCAGTCGGCTCTGGCTGGCGCTCGCTACGAGGACCTCGTAAATATTCATTTAATCTGATCTAATCTATACGAACATATTCTGCGCCTCGTGTAATTGTCGGCGAAATTGCAAATCGATATCTAAACCGTCCTGCCGTTCCCCTCCTAGATATTGTACTTTGCTGGACAGCCATTGGACGAGCGTGATTCTCCACCTTCACCCTTGTGTCATGGGACGATCAAGATAAGCTAATTCTGTCAATCTTAAGTCATCTGCTTGTTTTAATAAAACTAGTATTTTACATTGATTATGAATTTTGACCTATTTCCGTTACTTATAGTGGTTTTTGAAAAATTCAAATGTAATTCTGGAACATTCTCTTCAGTTCTTCAGTGCTAGCTCAAGCTTTATAACTTCGCTTATTTTTCAGTAATTTTTCCATCAAGTTCTCAAAGTCCGGAAATGATGATAAGAAACTAATTCCTGTAATACTTCAGCGTCCTACTTGAAGGAATTTTGGAGGTATTAAATAGTTTGAAGAATCGGATATAATGGTTTCGTAACTTCAACATTTAATACCTTGAAAACTATTCTCGCAGAAATTAGTTTCTCGACGTCACTTGAAAATACTGTAAATTACTCGATTCCAAATTTTAGCGTGGAGCACGAGGTGCACGCATAAAATCCAGATCTACAATTAAGCAGAGCTAATAAAATCACACAAAAATTTGAATTTCGATTGTCTGCAAAACTATTTCATGCAATTTAAATTCTTCCAATTTTGCAAGCAAAAATTCGACGTCGCAATAAAAGCTCACATCACCAAACATCTAAATAAATTGATGAACCGGTAAAAAAGACCGGCTGTTTTATTTCAACAACGCCGTCATGAATGTGTACAAAATGTAAGCCGAAACAAAGGGCTATAGAAAAATATTTTTGTCAACATAGAGTGGAATGCACGTGCACGCGTACCTAGCGTAACTGATGCACCGCGCATTTTCCAACTTGATGCTCTCGAAAACAACGCATCGCGTGCACAAACTTTATTCGACGCGATTTGTTTATTTTTTTTTTGCGCAAAAATATTTTCATTTCATTTCTACCGGTTACAACTACCTACTCCTCACTTCCACTGCATAATATCCCTTCAAACGTTCCTATCGTTAACGTGCCACGCTTGTAAAAAACTCTCCTCTAATTCATTCGCTTATTTTCCGCGTGCCATGGGTTCCTGCTTTTTTCTGGGATAAAAGCACATTATTTACGGTTTGGCTTGGTCCAACTAGAAGGACCGTAAATATAAAAATAAACACACGGTTGCGCACAGTAAACCCGGACGTTCGATGTCATTCAATATCCACGTCGTCGATGATAAAATGGAAGCAAATCATGCGTGGAGGGGATCGGGAAAAAATGGAGAAATACAGGACGGAACGTCGCGACGATTAATTTCGGCGCTGTTACTTCGAACAAACCAGAAGCATCTATCGGCGAGAGGGAGGGGCGCAAAATCAGTTTCACGTTCGTGTTCCTTGATCGTGAAAAATAATGCCCGCGGCGTAATTCCAACATCACGGTTTAAACCAGTGATGCTCAACCTTTTTCTTTATCTAGCCAAAAATGAAATAAAATAATTTCATATTTAAACTGCCAGCAAGTATTTAAAAAACAAAATGAAATACAGGTATTTGCAATCCACTAATTCTTGGAATTTTTATCGAATATACATTTATTCAATATGGCGTAAACGTACGTCATAGAAGCTAATATTTTTTATAAAATATATAACTGTGAATTATAATTTCTAAGAAAATAACATTCATGAACAACGTTACAATCACTAGGTTTCTAAAATCTCCTCGGTGAAAGAAAATATTTATAACTCTACCAGATGAAACATTTTGCAGGATTTTACAACTATATTATGATTATTTTTTATATTACATGAATACTCTGCAAAAATAATTTAAAAGCGGTATCTGAATATAAATTACAAATTACATTGCCATCGCGTGGATATTTAAATTTGTTTTCAACTTTATTTTCCAAACAGGACAAACTAGCCTGAACTTTGTGCACCACTGATTCGAACAGAGCGACGGTATTAATATTTCTGCGAAACTACGTCCACGGCGATCATCACGGGACCAAACAAATTATTTAGCTGTAATAAATATCGCGTTCGACGATTCATGTGTGACGTTTCGTGGAGTGAACTGGTCCATTGGCAAATATCGAGCATGGACAACCAAGTTTCATGCTGTTACAACGAGAAATAAAATCTTCTGGATTGGATAACAAGTTTTGTAGAACTTTTTTAAATCCCCACCCTCGTGCCCCATGCGCCATTTTCAATACACCACAGCTTCGAGCAATTTGAATTGTTTTCACTATACCAGCTATATATGCTCCTTCCATGGATTTCGAAGGATAGCAGCCTCCCAAAAATCAACTATCTAGTATCTGTTAAGGCAATATTTTGGAAATTTCAACTCCTCTATCATTTTTTATGCTGAATTTGTTAGCGCAGAATTTGGTTTGTAGAAACAATGTTTTTCATGCATTTTAAACGAAAATTTACAGTGAAAATAACTACGCCGATAAATGTATACTCTTGTTTGTGTTACGTAAAAGAGAGTTATACAGAAAAAAAGGAACGTACTCTGTTCATTTTGTGCGATTTAATAGAATTGATCTATTATAGGGCTGTTTGTTAAAACTCTACTTACAGTACCAGCCAGTAACATTGCTTTTAGTTTACCTGCAACAGAAAAGAAGAAAACGTAAATTAATAAATCATGAAGCTTATCGTATTCAGTTCGATAGGAAATAAGCCACGCCATTACCCTTTGTACATCCCTCGATAAAATATGAATTTCTCACTAAAAGTATGTGCTTCGAGTAATTATCAGAAGATCCAAACATTCTCAGCTTCACATTTGCTGAATTTGAGATACATTGGACATAATCTTTTTCATCTTCGCCCCAATCTTCTCTATTTGAAATTTCTGGTTGCGCCGGTAACCTCTGCATGCGGGAACCTTGCACAAAGCTCGGAAGCGTGCACCTACCGCGTGAATATTAACGGAATAAGAGTCAGTTTTCGTTCTTCCTTGTTGTCTCTTTTCTTCCGTCACGGCTGACGGAAAATACGGAGAATTAAAGAGGCGTTGGTCGTACCTGCGGCTAGAATCCAGCGTAGCGAATTTCCCTTCTGGCATTTCGCATGCGTCTGCAACCGACTTTGATGTGGTTTGGATATTATTAGTCGTTTCGTATGGATGTTTATTAACCCTTCGCGATGTTAATCACGTCGCGGGCAGTTACTCCTCTGGGTTCGCTGAATTGAAACAATCAACTGCGCAATTACGGGAATGTTCGAAGCCGATTTTTCAGCGCTGATGTCATACAGCGCAGTGCTTCTCTCAATCCTTTCTGACTTGTGGCATCTTTCCACAGTGATTTCTATTATAAGTGTAAAGTTTATTTGACCGATTTCGAAAAGGAGTAGGTTACTCAATTCGACATGTATATTATTTTTCCACGTACATATTTATAATAAAACATTTCTCTGAAAACATCAATCTTATTATTTAATTTAGACAAACTCATTTAATAGACGTAGAAAGTACGAATACTTATGAGACTGACTGTAGATCGTGCCTCTTTTATACCTTGCACTATGAATCTTCGTGGTCCCCCACGAAGTACAGCCATAGCTTATAAAGTGGCCATTATGGCTCACTATTGAGAATCCCTGGACCAATTTGCGTTAGTTCGACGGTTTCAAAGTTTTCCAGCACGAATTTCGAACAAACGTTGGAATATCATGCCGCGGCAGCTAAATTAACCACGAGGCGTAAATTAATTACGGGACAGGTAACGGTGCGCCAGCTCGCGACACTTTGTCGATTAGTCGTCCCGTGAAATAGAAGGGAACGATCGATGATATGAATTGAGAGAGTTCGATGGCAAACGGGAACGTCATCGATATTCTTCGCACGAAAGCAATACGTTCCTCCGCTGATACTTACTTACTGACTCGTGCAGTAATGGCTGATGCAACCGAAGATGAATTCCTATTGAAACAGTATTTATTTCGCTGTGCATGTTCGTCGCGCATGTCGCGATAAACCGTAACGTTTTCCCGCGCGAGAGGTATAACAACGTCGATGAGGAAACACATCGCCGCGCCTGTGACCGATCAATCGTCCATATTGAGTCCGTAACTAGAAACGAGTGTCTTTGTAAGTCACCTTGGAACGAATTGCAACGAGAATACGCCTTTAGTTGCGTGTAATCCTCGATGACTGGTTGCGAAACGGAGAATGATTAATAAAAGTGAGCTTGGATAACCAAGGTTTGTGGCAACAAGAGTTCAAGTAGAACTCATTCGAGAACTACACATTGGAAAAAGTATAACTCGTCGAGTTGATCTATAAACGCGTGAATGTTACTGTCTTTTCAAATGAATAGCTGTGGAAGTTATAAGGAGCGCGACACTAGCGCCGCCTGTGCGATCTGCGCCATTCTCGTGGCAATCGTCCAGTATTCGTACAGTATTGTAAAATGTTTCAACACAATGCAGCGCTTAACGTGTCGATTCAAATTCATACCATCTCGAGGCTCCTCCCGTTGTCGAAGCAAGAGTGCCTTTGGCGTCGCTCGTAGGCGGATAAGTGAATCCTTCGGTGGCAAAACGTGCATTCATTCCGATGCATCGAGGTCGCGGGTACGTGACTGCAGGCGATGAACATTCCACCTTGTTACAAAGACGGAGGAACGAAATTGGCTCGTATCCACGGGAGCGTGGTAGGTCGAAGTCCCTGACTCCGCTCGCGGGTGATGAGGCGCGGGTGTCGTGACTGTAGCTCTGTTTCCGCGGTGTAAACTCCCAGAATTTCCCGTGGATCCAGCATAGGTTCCTGTGTGTTGGACGAGACAACCTTTCTCGGGGGAATGAATGCGACGGCGCGTCGTGGGGCTTTCGAATATCGCGTAGCAGCCGAAACCAAAGCAACGCCCGCGAACTGTGCAGCGTCAGGACGTTGGGCCAGGCTCGTATAATAATAATAATGCCGACAAGAAACCGACCGTGATATATTTCGGATGCAACCCGTTCATCTCTCTCGTTCCGTGTAATATCGTACACCGTCACTCTTGCACGGGAACACTTGTACTTTTATTACAGAGAGGATATATTCGACGTCGAGACGGCGGGGGCGTCGGTTCCTGGGAGACACGGAGTACTCGAAGTAATTGGAGCAAAGTAAAAAGGGGAATTACGCTTGGGATGTCGGAAAGAGAAAGTTTCTAGGCTTGTTCTTGCTCTGGAATTGATTAAATATCTATAATGTACACAACATTCAGTATTCGCTTAAATATTAATAACAGTTACGGTTCAGAATAAGTATTTGAGGATTAAAGATATCAATTGTGAGAAATTTGTCTATAATTTTCTATCTACTGGTTGTAATATCTAAAAATTAATTTCTGATAATAGATAAATTAATTATTAACTCTTTGCACTCGGATATCCCCAGTGAGGGGTCATCGTAAGTTTAGAAAATTTTGTTAGTTGCAAGATAAATTTATCCTAGGAAAAATTTAAAAAAAATCCATGTTTCTTTGCTTTGATCTCCATAGTTTCGTACTTACTTAGTATTAAACTCGTTGATTGTATAATCTATGTAGGGGGAGATCAAAAAAACTCTGATTCCATCCTCATGGTGAGACCTGGTAATTGGTATTATTCGCGACAAGCAATCCTTTGTCGCGAGTGGTAGCGAGCTAATCGGCTGCGATATAGTAACAAGATCTTTAGATATACGAATAAATGTAACATTTTAAGATTATAAGAAAGATCCTAAAGAAATCAAAGATAAAACTTGAAGTTCGAAGTGAGACAATTATTATTTAAGAATATTTAAACGTATCCTTTTCGTGGAAAGTGTAAAAGAGGCAACAATAGCACTGAATTATAATTCCACTCCGAACTTTTCACTCGCTGAACATCTGCTTTAACTAGCTATCCAAGTTGCTGAAAGATTGTTCCCCTTTAAGCGTAATATTCAAATGACTTCTGCTTCTGGGTTAACTCGACAAATCCAGTAATTCTCGTTCACATATAAAACTCGATATTCGAAATCAGAAACTGGTAACTGGGCACCAATCGTGGAAATGAGAGGAGCCGGTACCTTTTGATTGCCACGTGAATTTTGCTTCGTAAGTTTAATATTCTGAAAGACGTAGTTTGCAACTCTACTAATCTAGAACATGTAGCAATTCTCTCCTATGTACACAATTAAAAATTCGAAGTATTATCTCAGCATGTACTGCTGTCCAAAAATTCTACTTCACGTCATCTTCTTAAAATTTAATAATCAAACTACGTGTTCACACAGGTAACAACATTCATCCTCTTTCCATATAACCGTTCCCCCAAATTTGATTGAATCTTAATGACACGAGTTCCCATTCGTCACACGTTGCACTTTTCATGCTCGGCGAACTTGTCCAAAGTTAAATCTCGATTGTCACCAGAGTTTGCAGGATATATCGCTCACAAAAGTTCAAAACAGAACTGGTCGAACATTTGCACCATTCGTCAATAATACGATTAGATATGGAAACTGTGGCTACGCTTACTTTATCGGGAAAAACCAACAAAAAAAAAAAAAAAAAACAGAAATCGACCGCGTGACAGCTGTTTAAATACGACACGTGCGTAGACTGTCGCTCCAACTGTGTCGATGCGCAAACCAGGAATCTATGTTCTCTTGTTACTATACTGAAATCGCGAGTCTACAATAGGACAACAGCTGCCTGTTATCATTTATGCTATCTTCGCTGCAGTGTTAGTTTGCACTATTAATGTAATCGCAACGTGACACGTTTGTTTCACTTATCGTTTTCCGCGACAAAAGGAAATACAACTGGACACCTCTGTCTCGTTTCTATCTTCTGGGAATCTTATACCTAATATTTTCTAGTTTCATCTTCGAGGATTTCTCTTGTACAGATTGCCATCAAACAGTGATGACAACGGAACCAACGAGATTCGGGGTAAATCATTCGGCATTGATTGGCAGCGCTCCCTGCTCGAGGAGACAGAAAAGCCCCGGCTATATCATCGTCTGTCGAACGCTTAGGCCATGCACAAGCTGCGCATTTTTACGATAATGGATTTGTGAATTATATTTACGATCATGTCCCCGATACATTCGGCGTTGGCTAATACGCGTAACTCATGTCCTTAACCTCGATATGGGATCCTAGAGCGTAAGAGCATAAAATCTGACTTATAGACACACTTAAATTTCAACACCTATGAAACACAACTTCATATTACAGAACAATTTATTCTGAATCTATTTTCTCGCCACATGAAGCAACGATTTGCTATCACAACAAATTGCCCGTTTCGAATTCGCTCCGTATTTATTCTTCCAGTCGCGAACCGCTGGATAAGATCGAGGTACGTTACCGTGGCGCGGCGTACTATCAATATCAATAAACATCTGGTATTATCGCGCTCGTAATGTTGCCGCGGCGGTAGTCGCGAACGCCTCGATCTACCAGCGGCAATAACAACAACATCGACTCACGGCTGGCAGGGAAACGGTGACCCACCTCGTTTCATCGATCCTCCAGCTCTGAAAGTTCGCAACTCTCGGGTTAAACGAAGGCAGTGAAGGTCAAGCGAAACGGAACAGCCCTGAGCCGAGCGCGTCGAGTTTCGTAACCCTTTGTTCCACGCTCGACGCGCCACAAAATTATCCGTACAATTAGCCAGACCAGTTTGGCATGCCTCGATGTGATCGTGAAAGGCTTCATTTGGAAAAGTTGCCCAGCCCCAGGAGACTCGTGAGCACGCTACGCTGACCGCGTAAAGTTCAAACGCAAACGAACCGTTACCGATGAACGACGGACATCGAGCGTTCGTCGATCGTGTTCGACACGAAGGCGGACGCTAATGAGAGATTCGTTTACTGAAGGGGAACCCCGAGTAATTGAATTTTTGGCGAACAATCCTCGTCCAGGCGTAACTCGACCAACGCGTGCCTCTTGCGAATATTTTACGGACAGTTGCTCGCAACGCGACATCCGCTGGGAGGACGAAACAAAGGATCCCTGGTCAGATTCCACTAGAGAGACATTACTCGTTGATTAATTACAGCCTTGGGTGATGCGTTATGTCGTCATTCCTTTGGAGTCTCCTCGGTGCACGAATACTGTTAATAGCTCTGCTTTCTTTTCCACTCCGTGTAGCTCGATGCGTGAACTCTGAGAATGTTGAGCTGACAAGTCTCAGGTAGAATCTATTGTACAAAGCCTTACCAATAAGTCCAACCGAAGCTATCATACCCTAAATAAAATGATAAAAGGAAACATATTCCTGTCTTCTAAAATGAGCTCTCGACAAAATGTGCCTTGTCGGTAGACCAACTGTGCCAGAGGAGTCGAATTCTTAGGTATATTAACTATATCGTTCTACCGAGCAGGCGATAACACGACTAGCATATTAAGCGTTCACCTTGCTGCATGGGACATGAGAGTTTACTGTGTAGGAGGGAAAACTGAGCCGAAGGATCATCTTTACACAAGTTACGGAAATTAATTACTTATGCCACTTTGTAAGCTAAGAACACCTCTATATCTACCAATGACGGAGATGTAAGACGGTATAGGTGCATGTAAACAGAATACAGAATATGTTTGTGGAGACGTGGAAGTTCTTTACTAATAAATGAACTTTTGAAACTCTGGCAGCTTGCTCAACTACTTTATGGGTTCGTAGATCTTTAGATGTTCCTAATGTAGTACCGTTTTGTAGATGTTTATATCTGAAACCTAAGATGAATCCTAGCATTTGGAACATACTAATTACCTCTCGAATATGTCTCGTAGATATTTCAATTATCTTAAGGAGAAGGAAAGTGGAGATCGGGTTCTAGATTCAGACCTAGACGGTTCATTTCGCTCCAACAATCTCAAACACCAGAATCAACTTCGAGAACTTTGACTTCCGGGTTTATCAGTTTACTGGTTCATAAACGCTCCCTACAAATGCTCTTAAAGTAATAACGTTTTCCAGATCAGAAACTTAATCTTCTAATAGTCTCGACACTTGCTTCGACCTGGCTTTCTACTGAATATGATACCTCGCGTATATTTCAAGCAGTTAATGTATATTATTATTGTAATGTATGTAATGTATATTAACTTAAAAATCTTATTATTTGCTGTTGGAATATTAACTATAATTCAACCTTTTATTTTACTACAAAAATAAATGTATCGAGAATATATGTACAATGTATACATGTCACTGCTAAATAAGAAGGGAAAAAGTTCAGGATATGGCCTGCATTCTCAAGTGCCATTGAGGACCTTTCCTATAGTTTCCAAGAGCGTAATCAGATGTGTGAAAACTGCAATGTGTACAATTAGAAATTCTTTCTACCTTTTACTAATAATGTTTGTCTGTTAGTCTTGGCCAGCTCCTCGTAGAGTAAAGATCATAGCTTACTCGTGACATGTAGTAATAAAATTGAAACTTTTGTTTAATGAAATTAGTATTTTATTCTTTCATTATACCCCGTTTCCATTATTTGTTGAAAACGAACCCTGTTTGTAGACATCCCTAGCGTTCCAGACGCCAGCAATTCTTTGTTCGATTAACTGAGATACTCTTCGCTATATCGAATGGAGTATAGCAAAGCCAGGGATCTTCAGGTATGCACCTTGATCCCTCGGATGACCTACGTGGAAATTCCTGGAAGGAATTCGCTCGTGACGAAGAGGATCGACACGCGAGAGCTGGCGAACAGTGCATTTGTGTTCCCAAGATTAACAATCTATGTTTCACGCAGAGATACTCTAGGCGAGCAGGGATTCATCTCGCATGTTTCGAATATCAATTACGGTATCGTTACGCGCGGTGTACCAGAATTATTGGGCACGCCACCTGTTTCACGTGATCCTCCAACAGCTGGTATCGCTTTCCAAGCTGTAATAATCGATTATTTGCAACAGTCTCTATCTCGAAGCAACCCAATTGGTGCGTTCTTCTTGCTCTGTCAGAATTTAATTGATTTTCCCAATGCAACTCGACCAACTGCGCTACAATCATCTCGTTCCATTATCGTGGAACGTGTGGATATCATATTTCCGAAAGCTACATCGCGTGTCAGCGATTTCTCTCGAAACGCTTGCTCAATTTGACCGTATTCAAAATTTATAATCAAATAAGATTCGCCAATAGGCTTTCTCGTTGATAAGTAGGTTTACAGCTCGAGAGGAACATTCTGCAAGCGTTAGACGCCAATTTTGGCGAAACTTCGCAACTTTGTACATTGTGCATCAGTCAAGAATAAGAAAGATCTACGCTTCTCAGCTGACGTAACTCAAGTTTAAGAGACGAAGTTACCAAAGTTTCGCTTCTCCGATGCTACCCTGCGTGTTATTGAAACTACAGACAAATCTCTTGGTATTAATTATTGCTTAAGAAAGATAACGAAGGGCATAGACCTTCGAGAAACTTTGAGCATCTTCTAAATCTCCTTAAATGGATACCTTCCGACAATAAGCCAATTATGACTTAAAATTGAAAATATCAAGCACGGACATGCAGCCGCCAGGTCGAGAAGGATAATGAATGAACCCTGACAAAATTGCATTCGTCCATGAAGACACAAACAGGTATTCGATTAAGCCTGTTAACCTACGCGGTGCAAGCGAGGTAATCGAAGATCCAAAGACAATAAACCAGCCTACCTTATCGCATCGCTGGTACACGCGTAGTCCAACCTGCAAAGATTGTGTCTGTCCAACCCAACGGGAATATCGGACACGCGTAATCGCGTGTACTCGCACGATTACTAGGCGCGTGCGTCTTCGGTCGAACGATGGACAAAATGATCCTATCGCCAAGAACACGCCCTTTCGATACGAATCTAGCGACTCTTTATCACGACGAAACGACGCTGCGAGGATTTATTGCGTCACGGGACTCCCTTTCGGAGAAATAAATCTAATAATCGCGTGTTTCGGCTTAGACAAAACAATGGATCACCACTGAATTGATAGTTAGGTAGCCTTCGCGGTAGTACCCGCTCGCAAGATAGAATTTGGTACCTTGGAATCAAGGCGTAATCGTCACTGTTTCTGTTGTGGGCGTAAAGAACAATGCTATAGATAGAGGTTCAATTTTTAGCACCACGCAGCGCGATCGCACTGTTCGCGCTCTGTGCTGAAATGTACAGCGATGTTTGGTTACGATCGTCAATTCGCAACGCGTTCGGTTCCGAATGTAGCTCGTTGCGAGTCATATCAGAGTTTCCTCTCGTAATAACTATTTTTTTTTTTTTCAAATAATCGTAATCCATCTGCATAAATAACCGGTTTTTATAGACGCATTCGCGTCGATCAGCGTTACTCGCAGCTAAATGAACGAAGCGCTATCCAACACAGATTTTTAAAAATCCCTGGCGCTAAAACTGTTAATGTGGAATTATTTTGAAATTTCGTCTAAGCGACAAATATAGAAATATAGTATTACGTTGTATCTTACTGAATTATGCTATTATACATTGTATTAGTGCATTTAGTATAAGTTATTGCGCACAGTTTAAAGTGCAGAATTTATAGAATAATGTCTCATTAATATTTTAGCTACTGGGCGGGGTATAAATTCGGTACCTTTTTAACATCCTCCTTTGCTTCGGTGTAGTTACTCCAGCAAATCAACCATTGTGTCCTGGAGATAGTTCCAATAAAATTGCCCATCGTCTCCGTGGAAGACAGGCTCGAGACTACGGAATACCAAACTAAAAATAGCCAACCTAAACCGGTGACTTCCGTTGTCTGCTGATGTCTGCTGGTGTCTTCCTAGGGTCGACAACGATCTTTCTCTCATCGTGAATGCACCATTAATCATTCAACCCGCTAATGGTCTGCGAGAGTCGAAGCGCAAACTTAAGAGAGAGGGGGAGGTTTCTGGGGACGAAACACGACGCTTCAGAGGCGCAGGGTCGTATCGTAAAGGGGTTGGATTGCAAAAGGCTCCCTTTCAGGTACCGATTCTTTCATGGGCCACCACGCAAGGGAAGTTCAGCGCGTAGCAACGTTTTCATCGAATTCCATCCGTACGGAAACCTAAGCGATACCCCGTTATCGCGCCGTGGCACCGAGCGGCA